TTAAAACTTATTTTAATTGTTAATTTATTGGTTATTTATAGGATTTAAAATCTTTTAAGCCGAGATGCACCGGGTTTTAATATTTTTATTGTATAATTTGTTATATTTGTATATTTTGTTCTTGTTGTGAGCCTCCCCGAGACTTTGTTGTGATGGGGGCGGCATAAAAATGTTTTAAATAAATAAATAAATGTATGGCTGTGAAAGTTGGACCATAAGGAAGGCTGAGTGCCAAAGAATTGAGGCCTTTGAATTGTGGTGCTGGCGGAGACTTCTGCAAGTCCCTTGGACAGCCAGGTGATCAAACCGGTCAGTCCTAGAGGAGATCAACCCTGACTGCTCTTTAGAAGGCCAGATCCTGAAGATGAAACTCAAATACTTTGGCCACCTAATGAGAAGGAAGGACTCCCTGGAGAAGAGCCTAACGCTGGGAACAATAGATGGCAAAAGAAGAAGGGGATGGCAGAGAATGAGGTGGTTAGATGGAGTCACTGAAGCAGTTGATGTGAGCTTGAGTGGACTCTGGGGGATGGTAGAGGACAAGTAGGCCTGGAGGGATGTTGTCCATGCGGTCGTGATGGGTCGGACACAACTTCGCGACTAACAACAACAACCAGGCAAAGCTTTCTGAGGAGTGTATTCCATAGATGGGACACTATGGCAGAGAAGGTCCTTCTCCAGGTAGCCACTCTCCTAATCTCCTTCTAGGAGGGCTTCCAGAGCAGGGCCTCCACCTCAGATCTCAAGGGGCAGGAGGACACATAGGGAAGAAGGTGTTCCTTCAGGTACCCAGCCCCTAAGCTGTTTAGAGCTTTATAGGTCATCACCAGTACCTTAAATTGGGCCCAGACTTCAATTGCCAGGCAGTGTAATTGCTACAGGTCCAGTGTTATATGTGAGTACCTGTCTGTCCCCATTAATATCCTGACAGCTCTATTCTGGACCAGCTGAAGTATCCAGACCGTCTTCAAGGGCAGTCCCACATAGACCATGTTACAGTAATCTAATCAGGAAGTTACCGGAGTGTGGGTCACTGTTGCTAGGCAGTGCTCATCCATCTGTCTGTCATAGTAAGGCTGAACATGGAAGCTTTATTCACTTATCATGGCTGGCAGATGTTAATAGCTGTGTCCCCCATGAGTTTGTCCAATTATTTTATAGCCACCGACATCAAAATCTTAGCAGTGGGACATAACATCTTAAACAGCTGCTGGGATTTTTTTCCCTTACCGTGTTCACATTTTGCTTCTCCCTGGAAAGGCCAGAGTAGTTTGTACGGTCCATGTAGATGAATAACCAATGAGGCTATATTGCCAGTTGCCAAGCCATTCACAGGGGTTCTCCATTAACATGTTCCTCTGACTGCCATTTTCTTCCTTCTGTTTTGCTCTCTGCTCTCCTTATCTGTTCTTTCCTATTTGGCTGCACTGTGCTGATGTTAGATGGAGAGGGACTACAGCAAGGGGAAGAGAGTGGGGATTGGCAAGTAGAGCAAATTTTTAAGCCCTCTGGGATCTCTGGAGACATGGGGATGGTGTTAATGTCAGTGGATCATGGTGTGGGAAGTGAACTCAGTATCCCCCTGCCCTCATGACATGTGTCGTCAGCTACTGCTACCTGTTATCGGACTTGGTTCACATGATGCAATGAGCTGAGTGTTTTACAGCCCATGGGTACTTATTCAGAACAGCAGCTCTGTCATATAATAGCTATGAATTAAAAGTAATCTAGCAGATTTACTGAGGATGGTTGATTTTTGCTTCCTTTTTAAAAATTACAATAGTTTTAAAGCACTGCCTAAAGCACTGGAGAAGTGAAGATACTTAACTGGAGTACAAGTATTATCTATGGGTAACCAAAAAAAAACAACCAAAAAAGGGAAAAGATAAGTACCGAGGGGAAATTATGAGCTTGCTGAAATATAGGCAAAAGATTTATGGAGCTAAGAAGTGTATGATATATGGGAACGATGCACTCAGTATTCACCTCCACACATTTTTAAAGTGAAAAGAGGTTTTTGAAGGTGCAAAATGTACCCTCAGCTCAAGTATATAATTGCTAGAATCTGCTTGCCACTTTTCCTCATCTAATCTGCACATTGGACATATTTTTTATAAAAATCCTCATAGTGTGAGCCCTCCGTGAAAGTATCAAGTGGTGAGAATCTCAGTGTCACAGTACTGAAAAATCAGCAAGAGTCTTACTTTTTTTTCACATCCTGGGTATTTCAGAGAGGGAATAGGTGCCTTTTGCCAAGCAGTCAGGACTGTGCTCCCTGTTTATCCATGCTGGGTGGCAATGGCAGCTGTCAGCACAGTCAAGCAAAACAGTGAAAGTCTGGCTTCCTCTGTAAGGTGCACCCATTTTCTTTTCTCTCCCCTCCACCTATCATTCTGATCAAGGGAATGAGAGAGATTCCTGATGTTGTATATAGCCCTCTTGTTTTCACCCTGAATGGAGACTGAAGGTGAAGGAACTGTGCCCCATTGCCAGGGTGGACATATCCTGTCTTCCCCACAACACCTTCCTCTATACAATGCTCACATCTTTTGCACCTCCTCAGTCAGACAAATCACTGACCAACAGCAATCCATCTTGGCTGGCTTCTGCTTCAGTTTATTGGTCCTTCAGTCCATTACTGACTCCAAGTACCTGTTCAGTACTTCCATCACCTCACCTGAAAAGGAAGGTTAGAGATAGGTGTCACTGCTGTACTGATAACACCTTACTTCAAAGACTCAGCTGAGCTCAGTGGTTTCATGTAGATGTTAACAAAATAGGAGACAACAGAGAGCCCTGTAGAACCCCCACAGCATACATGTTCGGGTGCCAGCACCACCTTCTGGAACTGGTCCATCAGGGAGGACAGAAGTGCTGGCGACTGGTCCAAAAGAACTCCACCGAAAATGGTACTGGCCATTGCCATTGGTAGTGTGCTGGACAGTGTAATATGAAGTCAGATTTGAAACACAAAAGCAAGAAGTAATCGTAATTTGAAAGAGTGGGAGTTGAAAGGCATGGAGACACCTTTTTCTTTCTCCATCCCTGCTGTAGCCCATCCAACAAGCCTAAAGAGTTCTAATTATAGAAAATCATCCTTTCAGAAAAATACAGTTTAGCCTGTGAGTTTCAAAGCTAAAAATATATATTAAAAAAACAAGAGAAGACATTCTGTTGTTATACATGCAGCAGATGCATTGCACACAAGGGAGCCATTATGAACAGAATGAGTGAATGCAATTAACAGTGCTAAAGTGACTAAGCATTACTTATAAAATCACTATGGATCCAAGTGAAGCTACTGGTATATTCAAATTAGCTTCTTTAGCAGCAAGAAACACAATGTCATGTAATTTTTCATAATGGTAGGACATTAGGATGCTACCCCCCAATGTTTCATAATTGAAAAAATTATCCTTTGTTTAATATATTTTCTAGAGAAAGACATTGGATGGGATCTCATAATTTTAAGCTGCTGCTCTTGAAGAATAAAGAGCTGATTACACATGGCTATCTTTTTTAGGACTCAGTGATGCTTGGACAAGTGTTGAGATACACATTGAACTTCACCTTGTGAAAATGTTCAGAAAATATTTAGATCCCTACCCGAGCTAGCTTCCAAACAATAAATGTTTCAAATGTAGAGACTGGCATTAAAGAGGTGAAATGTGCCATGCTGTTACTCTTGTTGTTTTAAAATAAATTTAAACCATTTTACAGCACAGTCGGAAACATGATTATTTGAAAATACATTCTACTGGGTGCAAGAGGTGCATTTCTCGCTTGTGATAGCAGCAGTAGGATCTAGCAAACACATGGGTGACCGATCACAGTGATGTTCCCATGCCAACGCTGTACTTGCCCAGGGACACTACAAGTCCAGGGGAATGCTAAATAAAAGCAGTTAACAGATTAATTGGCCTTTTATTTAATAGAATATACACCCAATTTATTATAAACATTTCAAATTCCAAATGAGACTTCAAATACAAATGTGGATTGAATAAAATATATACATTTACTGGGTTGAATCCAAATTTAGTTTCCCTTTGAAATCAATGTGAAAATTGGTTATAACTTAAGGTAAGTCCTGTTGATTTACATGGGATTGAGGTACAACTAATATCATCCACAAATCCACTCCATCATAAAAAGTTAGGTAGAGAAGCATTGGGCCATCACGTATTTGCCCGCTTATGGCCATCATTCAGATGAGGCAATCTTATGGTCCCACCAGCTGGCTTATGCTGCAATGATGCCAGCATAGCATGGCTGGGACCTTGTGCACTCCCAGCAGACAAAGTGCAAAGAAAATGATAGCACTCTGAAAGACAGATGATGTAACAATTCTGACAGGCATGATCCTGGCACGCATAGGAACATCACAGGCATACACTGGTCATGCTGATGACAGCGCCATATTAGCCATCAATTGATGGGAACAATCCAGAACTGGGTTTGCACCACATGACAACCACAAAGGGCTGTTCTATGCAGATCTGCATATGCACATCCTGACAGAGTAGTTTTTGTGAGGCTGAGAAAGAAGTTATAAGTGTGCAAAAAGAATCATAGCTTAGTGAAGGAACCGATGTTCTTCATGCAGAAGGTTCAGTCCTCATCCTTTTCAGATGGGATTGGCCTTTAAACACAGTGATCTACTGCCCAGCAGTATAGATGACACTGTGCTGGATGAGCCAATGGACAGATTCTGGTAGCTTCCTGTATTTCTAATACGGACTTGGTGGTAAACCCCACTGAATGCAATGAGACTTCTTTGAAAATCTATGTAAGATAGTAAGCCTGGCAGTAACCACTAGAACATGCGTGATTATGATTGCAGCAGAATGTATTTTTCTTCACATAACAGAAAATAAAAATAGTCTAATATGAAGAGGAAGGCCAGTATTGTATTCCATAGGTAAATTTGGGCTTCTCTGTGAATAGGTTTCAATTAATATTTTTAGACATTAGCCTAAATTTTCCTCATTGCTTTTCAGAAAAACGAATGGCTGTGTTTGAACTGCCAAACTCAGAGGCTGCTAGAAGGAAGCCTAGGAGACCCTGCTCCAATGCCACTGCCTGCTCCAAAGCAACAGCCAACAGGATCCCCCCGACACCAACCTGGAGCAAGTGGTCAGCAACAAAGAGGAACAACTCCACTTGTAACACCCCAGCCACCTGAAGCATTAGCTCCTCAAGACAAGCACCTTTCACATCTCAGGACTTCAGAAAAGAGCAAATTACCAAGTACTGCCCAAGAAAAAAAACCTCCTGCTCCATCAGAAGGAAAGCCACTGCCCAAACTACCCGAAGAGCCTCCAAAAGCTGCTGAAATTCCATTGCCAAAGGGGAAAACCACGGCCACAAAACCAGAAGCAGATATCAAAGAGAGCACGACCACATCTGAGTCTCCGAGAATAAGAGAACAGGAGGTAAGGATATTTTCAGTGGACATAATGGTTTATTTATGGACACAGTAACCCAAATAGCATGTCAAAGCAGGCAGTTCCTGGGTTGTTTATTTGTGGGGAGTTTCTTGTTAGAACAAATAGGGATGGTTTAATCCATACACAACCCAGAATTTCTGGGTTCAAATATAACAAAAATTGAAATAAAAATGTAACATATGTGGCTTGTATACTCCATTCCTTGCACAATTTCTGGGTTAGCAACCCAGGAATTGCCTATCATGATATGTGATATGGATTGATAGTTTATTCTATAATGAGACATAAATATCCTAAGTACCAAGAGAAAAAAAGTTTGCATAAGTGATTTCAGCTGGTAATCAAATTGAGGATAATTATCTAACAATAGTCAGATGGGTTATAATCTTAAATCAAATAGTTCCCTTTATACAAAAGTACCACATTTGCAAGAGGATGGAACATTTTGGTTTTCTTCTTTTGTTTTTGTTTTTTCCTGAGAAACTGGAGAAAAGTTGCTTGCCACTCTTCAAAATCATCTATAGCTTCAGAAATATACTTCCCTGAGATGAAGTATAACTGGCTATTGCTCACAGAAAAAAAATCCTGCCAATACAACTTTGGATTGCAGTTACACTAGTGCCAAAATACATACAATTTATTTTCAAGTTACCTCTTAATAGATTAATGAGAGAAAGCATAATTAATTTTAATTGGGACAAGGTAATTTACAGTCAGACCAAGGATCTGTCTTATTTGTATCTAACAGCAGTCCTCTGGATGCTTCTGGGAGGCTTAACGCATGAAGGTGTTTCCTCTTGGTCGCCAGTATTTCATAGTCACATAAGTATACTTCTCTGTACATTGAGGTTCCACCTGATTACCCTGCCTAATGGCAATTGAATTAGAAAACAATCCTATCTGTGTGAAGTTTGGGGAGCAAAGTGCTGGACTGTTTACTGCTTCTAAAGTCCTACTGGCTTCTGCCAGCCAGGTCAGGCAGTGAAAGGTGGAACAGATGCACCTTTTTCCTGTGAAAGGATTGGACTTTTTAAATTTCCTCTTCATTGTTTCCAAAGAGAGAGAAAATTCCTTCAGCACTTCAGGCTGGTGTAGGCAAAGGTCCCAATCCTGGTCCTTACAGGGGGATGGAGGGGCCTTGGATACAGCAGAGCAAAGGTCATCTCTGCCCTCTGCTGTTTAAAGCCTCCATTTCTGGGCTTACAACCCACAGGAACTCTGCCAGTGGTAAATTTATGCCAGTAGAGATTACCTCAGATGTAACTGGTACTTGGGGCAGGTAATACATGCCTAACACCAGCAGATCTCCTCTCTGGTCGATCCAAAGGTAGAAATTGCTCTGAAATTTGTTAAATTTTATATTTTTAAAATTATTAAAAATCTCAAGGCAGCTTACACTAAAATCCAATGCATAATAAATAGCTTAAAAACAGAATGACAATAGCACCTTTAAAAATTTTGTAAGAGCCACTTTCAAATATCACTGAAGTAAAAATAGAGATAACAAGGAGCAGCAGAGAAAACAGAACTCATGGTCAAACACCTTTTTAAATAAGAAGGTTTTTGACCTCCAGTGAAAGACCCTTAACAACCTTTTGTCAGTAGGGTGTTCTCCACCAAGAAGGGCCTTTCTCGCATTCCTGCCATAGGCACTTCAGAAGGAGAAGGGCCTCTCTGGAGGTTCGCACAACCTGGCAGATGTGTATGGGGAAAGCTGGCCTGGTCCCAAGGTGTCTAAAATGCCATCCTTAATCAGCTTGTTGTGTTCTTTAAAAAAAAAAAAACAACAACTGAGATAGTTGTCATCAACAAATCATGTACCAATTATTTCTACAATCAGCAGCAATATTTTGTATATGCCCTGAACCAGCAGCCAATGAGTTTCTCTCTTGATTACATTACAGTTTGTTTTTACATAGTGATTTGAGACATAGTTTATAAAAGAGGCCATTCAGTAGCCTTTTTTCCTGTTGGATTCTGCTTTAATGCCATTATATTTTTAGGGAGAAACCACATTATACACCAGGGGTGGGCAACCTATTGGCCTATGGCTACATGCAAACCTTGGCCTAATTTCATGCAGTCCTCCCTCTAATTTGAAAAGCCTCTGCATGCATTCAGTTCCAGCTTGTGGCAAGAGCACTCTGGCTCTTTCCTGGCAGCCTGCTGGGTGGGAACTGAAAGACTGATGGGAGACTGAAAAGGGATGGGAGAAAGAAGAAAAGTGTGATCCACCCATCTTTGGTCTCACCCACTGCCAGCTTTGGCCTTTCCCACTGACTGTGTCAAGGTTAGTGGACTGTATCCCACAGACTCAAACATTCAAACCAATATATAAGTTTGATTTAAACAAAGAATTGTGTATCGAGCTCTCTTGGGCAGTGGCTTCTGTTTCCTCAAGCTGGCAGCAGTGGCTGTTGCCTCAACAGCTTCCTGGTTCCTCCTAGGAAGCACAGCCCATTTGGGCTGAATCCAGAAGTACTTTCACAGTGTTATGCTGGCAGTGCAGCAATTCCTGGGAGGAAATGCCAGCCTCAAAAAAAAAAAAAAAAAGTTGCTCACCCCTGCAGTACAATCACAAATGTTTAGCTGCAGACCAATCTCTCTCCCCTGCCCCTTACTTCGTTTTAAAAGCTGCTTTGGAATGAAGTTTATCCAGCCAATTACATTATAGTCAAATTGGGTGCCTTTAAATAAAATGGGCATCTGTGAAGTCCATAGTTATTTAATTATTTATTTATTGAATTTATAGATCGTGCCAATTGTCCATATCAGGTCCTATTAATTAGCATTCTGTATTGGATAGTGTTACATTAGCACTAGCAGGGTTTAACCAGAGAATGTGGAAGCCCCAGTCAAACAAGGTAGAATGTTAGGTGCCATCTGCACAGTATGAGGCTAATTGTGAGATGCTCCAGAGAAAAACGAAAGTAAAATTGAGTGCCTGAAGAAGAGGTGAGAAGCACTTGCTAGCAGAAGGCTCAGTGAGTGTGAAAGTGAGCAGGCCAGAAAAAGCGCTGAAGACAAGCCCAGGGTATTTAGCAGCAGAGTGTCATTTAAATGTGCTTCCTCTCTCACCATCCAGTCCTCAAGACAGCCTCCCAGGATGGGCAGCAGGGCACTTTTTCCTCAGAAGTCTGCACAGCAAGCCTTCACTTCTGCTGTTAAAGAAAAACATCCTTTATACAGACTCTTGCTGTTGTTTTCAATAGAATGTTTTTGACAAACACGTGGACTAATTCTGTGTTCCATCGCTGTAAGGCCTTCCTTTCTCCCCAGTGGCAAGTTGGGAGCATTTATTAGTACTGACAGCGCTTAACACCTGTTCGGTATGAGCTCCATGGGAATCCCCAATTATGCAGAACTATTCCGCTGCCAATATTTTGATTGAGGTATCGATTAAATGCAAACTTTTACTTGTGCCACTGCCTGATAAGCTTCCTTTATCTCTTGGGGTATTTCTGCATAATTGCCAGACCCTGAAATTAAGCTCTGTAGAGTGGTTGCCGCCCCCAGAAACTGTGATTAGTTGGCCTTTTTGCCCTCACTGTTATTTTGTCAGCCAACTTTGGCACCTGCAGTGTAGGAATTAAGATCTTTCATCTCTTGCCTTTCATGATATGAAGAAAATTCCTTTCCTGATCTCAAATTCTCATAATAGGTTCCCTGAGTTTCATGTGAAGATTTTAAAATGTCAGTGGCTGCATGTGGGATTGCAGTCTCTGCACCAACGTTCGCTGCAGCTCAAGGAATAAACATAGCACTTAGCTGAACTAAGTATGATTGCTAAAATGCCCTTTCAGACCAATTTCTGCTAGAAGGAATTTGTCAACAAGAATGGGAGTAGAATATGTATTCCAAGCACAATGCCTTCTTTTTCAAATGAAGGATGTTCATCAGATATTTGCATGGAATAGTACACAGTGAGGCCAAACTGCAGAACATTAAGTCCTGTTGGCAACCTGAAACAATGAGCAGGATCCTTCTTCTTGTTCTGTTTATAATGGCTGCCCCCCGCAGCATGCTGCTGAGTTACTGGGGCAGAAGTGGTTCATTCTATTACTCTGTAAGCATGAGTAGAGAAACCCCTTAGGAAGGAGGATCAGTGGTGGGTGCCGTGATGGGGATAGGAGCCCTAAGATTGCATGGTGCAGGTTTTTGCCTTGGAAGACTTTTTTTTTTTTTAATTCTCCGGTTAATGCTTTTTGGTTTTGGAACTGGGAAGAGGTATCATATCACTACACTTTTATGGTTGTGTTTGCCAAATTCTACCCTAAACATGTATAAAGGATAGTTACTTGGGAAAAGAAAGCATAGCACTGACAAATTACTCTTGATGCTTTGCCCACAGAACTTCAAAACCTGACCAGGAAATGGTTCTGCTATCTTTGAGACCCTAGTTAGTCCCTCACACACACTCTACCTATTTGCATTTACAGTTGTATGTAAAACTCACAGCAAACAGGACTCAGAGTGCAGATGACCTGCTGGTTTGACCCCAGTAGAAGCTAAAGCAAGGGAAGACCACAAAAGAGCAGACCTGCCCTCTCCTTCATAGTCCTGCAGTCTCTGTACTCGCTGTGTTTGCTGTGATTCAGAGTCGGTTCTTTGCATGAGAGCAATCAGATATGAAGATGGGTAGCAAAACATAGTAGCTCAGAGGAGAGGGAGGGAGGGAGTGGAGGGAGGGTCTGAAAGTTTTCACCTAAGCCCTCTCCAGGATGTACTGAAACAGAGAAATCTGTTTCAATTTGATGGATGGGTTGGGGAGTATGGGGACTTCCATTTCTAAGATGGATTACATTTTGCACATTTTAACTGCTAATGATTTTTTTTAAGTACACCAAAGCTACTGTGCAATTTGTGCAAATCAGCCAATTCTGCACAAATCATGGTATAGTCGCAGGGTTTTCGGTACTTATCTGTGCATACTACTTTCGTGGTTTTTTAAAATGTGCAAATAGCCTTTCACCTTAGAGATGAAAATCTGCAAGCTGACTCAATTTGCACCACACTGAGTTGGCACCAGCGCCAGGCCAACAACCCAGAATATGGTGGGGGGGGGTATTTTGAAATCAATCCAATGTTCACACGCCTATCAGATTTCTCACAGATCTCTATATCAAAGCTATACTTGAATTGTATACCCAAGTGATGTGCTCTCCCGTCCAGGATCCCTGAAATGAGCTGCTAGAGCTGGAGTCTACAGGCAGAAGGTGCCGCTCTGCTGGCAAAGGCAAAAGGCTATGCTCCCACTTTTTATACCATGCCCACTATTCTAGGACCTTCATAAGGCTAGCCAAGTATAGGGAGCACTGTGCTTATAAAGGCAAAATCCAACAAGGATCCTGATGGTAGTAGACCCAACAAAAGGGATTTAAACAGCCATCTCTAATTTACGCTTAGGTCCTGTTAATTTCAGCAGGTCTATTCTAAATAGTACCTCTCTTGGATTTTACCATTTAAATGTTAAGAAAAAGAATCAGGGTGAGCACAACGGTACTTGCAACCTCTGCTTGTCCTGATACTGTGAACTACCTCTGCCTGCCTCTGGCTCAACCTTCTACCAAAATTTCCTCAAGGCAGAGGCAGCAGTAGCTGGAGTTGTGCCTGGTCCTGACACCTGAGACTTTTGGTCCCAGATTCCTTCATTAGGGAGAAGGCCAGCTACCCTACTCATAGAGCCAAATACATTTTATGTACAACTGGAAGTGAGCCATAATTGAAGCTGTCACCTTGTTCTTTGACAGGTACTTTAAGGCTGGTGCACATGTCACAGCCACCACATGAAGTCTGTTATAAATCATCCTGCACAGCGCCCTGGACCTCGCCTGTGTGCAGTAGTTGGCTCTCCTTGAAGTCTTGGTGGCTTTCTGCATACCACCACAGACTACTTTTTTATCATCATTCATTGTGTCTTGGAGCAGCTTGCCCAGTCTGCACCATGAGCCAATGCAGGCAAATGGTTGCACACAGAGTAAACAGTCACCTGAAGCAATTTAAAGCCACCTCCAGCCTTCCCAGACCCAATCACAGCAGCTGAAGTTGTTCACCCCATCAAGGGATAAAACCCCTTATTAAGAGTACAACATCATTTTATAGCATATTAAGTATATTTAAAAACTCTGATAGAATAATTGCCTTATGACAGCTGGTTATAGCGTCATCTGTGAAGTGGGTTGTTATTTTTTGCTAATGTTCTTGGCAATTAACCATCTAGCTCACACTTTCAAAGATGTACACCAAGCAAATATTTGAAGCAGAATTGTTGTGCACACATATTTGGATAGTTGCTGTGATCTCAGACCATGGATTACCCAACTGTCCTGCAGATGTTGGCAAATATATCATTGTTAGCAAGTCCTATGGATATCTTCAAATAAAGTGGGCAAGGTCCAGCTGTGTTGACCTTTGGGGAAAATGCTTAATATTAGCCATGGTAGCCAAACAGATTTTACCTGCTCAGAGGCACTGCACTTCTGAGGACCAGATGCTTGGGCCAATACCATCAGAGGCACTTACTAGGCTGCCATTGGAAGCAGACTGCTAGGTGAGAAAGACCTTGCCCTGGAAATCCTGTACACTGTTTAAAAATTATTATGAGTACTGAGATGGACTATTTAAATGCATTACTCGACAAGACAGGCATACTTGCCGATGTCTAGTTTATCTTTTCAAGCTAAACATTAGTGAGATGGAAGAACAGATTCAAAGATGACATCAAGGATGCACTGAATTGCAACCCTCATTTATACCTGTGTGTGGTGGGGTGTAAACAGAGTGGACCAAGTATGCAGTAAACAACCTTTAAAAAAAATCAAATGATTTGGTAATATAATGTGGAAGCAGTTTAAGGGACATTGTACATTACAGGGAAACATTCCCTGTTTGTCCTGTTTGTGTTTCTGTGGATATTTCTATGGCATGTAGAAAGAAGGCACATATATGAAAACACAGGTATTAATCACATATATTGAGTTACACCTTTATCCTGCAGACTTCATAATATTGTCCACAGGGACAAACATGGATAAGGAGGAACTTGGTTTGTTGCATAGCATGTGGAGTAGCCCTCACATATACCACTGGTCAGTTTTGATAAGATTTAGCATGGCCCTGATGCAAGTTTGAAATGCAATTACATAGACAAATAGCATATGCAGACTCATCTCCACGAGGGTTTCCCACGCTAGATGATCTTAGGGCTAATATTTCTGTGGTCAAGTTACAGTATGAATGTGCATAATGAGGACTAATGTTCTCCTATTGTGGAAATGTGGGAAATCCTTGGTATTTGTCTTTGCAGATTAGTTAGATTTCAAGGACATTGCACCTTCTCATTGCAAAGGCAACAGTTGTATTTCCTCTAGACTTCAGGCTATGAAAAAAGCTAGAACATACAGCTTTGGAGTTGACCCGCCCTGGGCAAACCAGATGGCTCTTTTTAAAATGGAAGGAACCAGCCAGTAAGATGTGCTGCAGATCTGAGCCCATGACTTGAGGAAAGAGGACACAGATTTACAAAACTGCAGAGTTGGCTGTTTAGATTTTACACATGTTGTGTTTTCCTGAGGACTTGCTGAAATCAGGACCTTTCAGCAGTGGGTGAGTTTAGTGAGGTTTAGCATGAATGTCACCAGTGAAGACCTGGGCTATACTCAAGTACCCTTTTTTTAGAAGTACCAACTTGCATAAAATGAGGTAATTTTTAAAAAGAGAAATAGGCAATGCAGATAATAACCATGGATAACTAACTATCATCAGAACAATCCATCAGAACAAGTCTGAACTGCTAACACAGAATGGGGAAAGGTTTTCATTTAGGTGTTGAGAAAATGTTTTGCTTTTTAAAAATTTAATGTTTTTATTGTGAATTTTTAAAAAATCAAACAAAACCACAAATAAAATAAGAAACAGAAAATGAAATGTTACCATTTTCTTACATTAAATTTTACTGAATCTATTGCAATGAATACCTGTGTACTATGTACCCCTATATATTATATGAAGAGCAATATATGCTACTATTCTTAGGGACAGTTATACACAGGCTTCAACAAAGGCAGCGCAGAGATCTGGGTGCAGGGAAGATGCAATACACCTTGAAACAAGCGCTTCTAGCACAAGTGACATCTGCAGCAGAATAGTATTTGGTTGTAAACAGATTTATCTGGAAAGGTTGTTTTCTCCTGCAGTTTTTCTATATTAACTTGGGAGTAGAGGAAAAGTATTGTGCTGTGCTATTTTTCTCAGGTCAGTTTGTATGTTTATCAAACAAAATCCAAGTACTTGAAAGGTTTGCATAGTCTCTCTGACATCTCAGTAATGAATGCCAGAGTGGAAACTTAAAAATAAAGAATTTAGTTGCCCATTCTCCCTAAAAATTTTCCATGTGATTTTTAAATTATTATTCAAGTTAAAAATGACACTCCTTGGCTTATTGTGGCTAGTGTTATTGGGACTTGGAGGGCTCTATGCCATTCCTGGAATGTCTGAGTTAATTGCAGCTCGGGATTCTTTCAACCCTGTACAATAAAGTAGCCTGTTTTCAAAGCAGTCTTGTAATAGAATCTAATAGGTTATTTTTCCCTTTCTTCTTTGTAGGACTCCAGTA